GAGGACCGAACGCTTGTTCTAGACTGAAAGAAAATGTTGTCGCGTCGCACAGTCGTCATCTGGGCACTTGGTTAGGGCGGCAAGGGTCGCGACGCGGCTGCGGCGGCGGCGATCAACTGCTTCCAACTTATTTTAGCCATTTTCTCCCTAATTTACACTGTTATGGCTGCTTTTCTTGAAGATTAGTTGTTCCTTGTCTTCACAAGGTAAATTATGATTGAGATTCCTTTGTTTTTTGCGCACAGTTAAACAGTTAAGCAGACAATGGACCTGAAAAAAATCGCAAAAAAGTCTGTCACAAAAAATAAGAAAAAGACTCCGCCCTCATGTGCTCCATAAAGATCAGGGCACATCATTGGTTGGGGATTTTAGTCGAGTCTGTACGAGTCTGTACGACCCCCCAACCAGCCCTCTGTCCTTCCTCACCGAATCGAGTCGTTGTTCGAGTCGAGTTGTTCAGAATCCCGAAAGCTGCTGTAGAAAGTGCTGTGAAACTGGTGTCACTTAATCTGTACACTATAGGTACTGCAATATGTATGTCATGTTAACTGAGCAGCCAAGACATTTTGAATGTTGGGCCGAAGACGACGAGCATTTTCTTATTTTTATACTCAAAATCCCTTAGATGGGGTAGGCGTGGCTGCGTACTTGAACTGAACGAGGTGGCAGCTAAGCTTTTCGTGAGATATTTTGATTTTGGACAGTTGTAATCATGTCTTTGTCCAACACAGAACAAAATGACAATTTGCCAAATTGATACCCCACCCTATGCCATGTTCAAATGCCACGCCTACTCCGTTCTAGGGATAAGGAGTGTACTTTAGCGACGCCCACACAATACCAAAGAAACTTTTATTCCTACCCCGTCCCTCGCTCTGTTTGTGTCCGAGAAAAATCTTCATCGCGCTAGCTCAGAATCATTTTCACACCTTCGAGCACTAAATAATGACCAGTGAGATCAGTAGCTCTACAGGAACTTGCGGGAATGGCAGAAATACTCTTAGTTGACAGCATTTACGTTACTCAGCCCTGCATCCTAATAACATGCTTCATTTACGGCTATCAAAGCACTCCAACAAGCTCAAAGCTCTCTATGGCTGAAAAAGTCACGAGCGGCAAATAATCGTGTATGTTTTCATTTTCTTCATTCAGGAGTTCACAAAAAAGTCGCTATGTCGCCGGAAACTGACAAAACACCCCTCCCTTGCGAGCTTGAGTCTTACCCTTTTCTTTATTTGATGTCGAAGCTGATGGAGTGCTTTCATCTCTTCAATACCCCTCCTGTTCCATCTATAAATACCCAATTATCTTATTTTCTGGGGTATAAGGCGCGTTTAACGACAAGGCCATGGGGCAAGCCCGACAACGCGCAGAAAAAGTTTGTGAACACCGCAGCTGCTTTCTTAGTCTTTTTTGCGTATTTTAATTTTCCGACTGGTTTTCATACAGCTTTCATTGAATACAGATCACTTATGTAGTTACGAACAAGCAAAAACCCGCACGAGCAAAGCGAAAAAAATTTTTTGCGGCGTCCGAGGGGAAGTTGCGCCCTGCACACGACTTATAACTCCGGAAAACAATGGAAAATAATGCGCATATGATGTGATTATGATAAGGTGAAGGAGAGAAGACTCTTTGAGCATTTGAATTCACGCTCAGAGAAAGTGGTTTTTGTCTAAAGGAACCGAAAATTTAAATGGTGACGATGTACTCAATGGAGGTGTTTGGTTGCTCGATTATGATTATTAACGTTGAAAAAAACCAAAAAATATTGATTTATTCGGAGCGTTTCTTCGGATTTACTTTCAAACTGGGAATCTTATGTAGTTAAGAACTTTTGAAGCAGGTCCTTACCATGTTGATGAAATAGAGAACGGTGGCAGGTGAGACCCATTCTCTGGCATGGATTCCTCCGTCGATCCATATACCCTTCTTTGGTCCGCCAAGACGTTTGTTGGTAATCTGAAAGCAGTTTGTTGTCCAGAGAGGGTCAAATTTCAAGAGCATGAGCTAAGCAAATGCAAACAAATAGCTGCAACCATTTTATATAGCAATGAACTTTCTTTTTAGACGACGAACCACACCCTATTTATTTCGCCGTATAAGGGTAGTCTCGAGATTTTGCAAGGGTAAAAGCTCAGCTGGCGTAAAGGGAATGTGACTCGTAGACCGCACGTGGTACTCTCGCTACATTTCAGCGAAACATCTCAGCGTGATAAGCTGAACAATTTACAAATAGGTGCATTGCTTGTCATTTCGCTATTTTGCAAGCACAGGCTAGATGGCTTCTGATAAGCTGAGATGGTCCCTTGAATTTCCACTGAGCACACTTCCGTTTCCCGAACCGCGCTACCGTGCGGATTTCGCACTTCGGACAGGCGAGTGTGCTGTGATGTTTGCGGATGGTCAAAAGTAAACAAAACGGCCGTTGAACAGCAGTCTATCTAAGCTGGCCAACGTAGCGCTCACGAATTCGACGTAACACTTTTGGAAATGGAACGGATCAACATGGAATTCGATTAATCGATGCTCTTGAGGAGACGAGAAAGAGGGAGGAATTTCGGACTGTCGTCACTGTGAAGCTTTTGAGGCGCTTGTCTTTGGGAATGGGGAAGGGATAACGTCAACAAAACAAACCAACTTCGAGCAAACAACGAATCATCAAAACAAACACCACTCGAAATCGACTTTTGTCATGCTGTTTCTTCTT